CGGAGCAGCCCCCGAAACCCCGGGGCAGCCGCTCTGCCCCTCTCCGCTGCCCGCCCGGCTCTCCCCGGCGCCCGGGCGGCAGAGCCCCTCTCCCCTCCTGTCCCACTCCCTCCTGCTTCCTCGGTGGGTTTTAGCCGTAATTGCACCTTTCCAAGTGAAAACCCAGGGCGGGGGAAACAATGCACAAATGAAACAGAGCTGCCAGCGAGGGAAGAAACTCTATCTAGACAGAAAGTTCCGCTGCCCAACAATATTTTTGTCTCTGCCTGCACAATGTTATCGTGTCCTGCGCCTTTGTCACGCCTATACGGCAAATATTATATTAATGGCTTTGTTCAAATAGACAGTTGAAAAAAGGACCGGAGTATTAAAATCACCGTGAAATAGTTTGGGAACTGCATGGGGCAGACCGAGGCGGGGAGAAGGAAAGGCGGCTGTCCCCAGTCCCCACGGAGGCACGGAGGCGCATCTGCCGGGAAGGGGAGAGGAGCACTGCCCCACGCCGCAGACTCGGCGGAAGAGATTGTGCGGGGGCGGGGGGCAGAAAATCAGATCGTTTCCCCGGGTTGAATGAATTTGGGGAAGAAAAAGAAGAAGGAAAAAAAAAAAAAGATAAAGCCAAACTCTCAAACTACCCCGATTTTTCTATCTCCTGCATCCGAGGAATGACAAAAACAAGAAGCAAAACGAAACTTTTCCCGCAAAAGCCGAAAACCCTTCCCTGCTCTTCCCAGCTCTCCCGGGAGGTCCAGGCCAGGGCTGTGCTGCAGCTTTACACGGTGCATGGGATGTGTGTGCGAGCACACGCACGCACGGGCTGTTCCTATCGCGGGTGCACGGTGCACGCCCGGGCAGCGAAAGGGGCACAGCGCCGTGCCGGGCGCCTACACCACGCTCGTAGCCAAACCCCAGCATATTTGCACAGGATATATGGCCAACTATATAGCCTAAGGATTTATTTTTTATGGAAACCCTTGGGATTTAGGCGTCCGTGGATTCTGCGGGCCTTTGCGTTGTTACCGCCGCGGAAAGGC